CAATCAGGCGCCCACCTGGAAAATAAGGGAATTCACTTCAGAATGCAATTCAAGTCAGCAACAAAAGAAGCTCGCGGCAAGAATGCGAGTCAACAGTCCGAGATGATCAACAGAAGTTAGTCACAATCCAGAATTAAAAAAAAATCAAGAAGTGAATCCAAATGCAGAAGTTGATGAAAGATGTGAGTTGATCAAGACATGGCTGAGCTCAAAAGCACTGCATGTCCGATCTCGATCCGAAAAGTTGAAGAAGAATGAACTAGCACCTGCAGCTAGCAAGCGTTAAGGTTCAAGTCCAAAGTCTGCATGAAGAACCATTCAAGACTCAAGATCAAGCTTCAGAAGACTTATAGATAGGAATCTTATAACTCGTAGTTGACAGGCTTAGCTAGACTTATAGATAGTCTTTTGATTTTTGATTTTTGACCGGAACCTCGGTGGAACGGCACCTAGACCGGCTCTCCACCTCAGTATACTCCATCACTGTTTTTACTTCTGAACTACACGTGGACTGATTCCTTTATAGCCAAGGATATATAGGCAGCTAAGATATCAGGGCTCGGTCACATTCCCCTTTCTCTTAGTTTTGGTCTCCCTAAATAAGGGTCGGGTCAAAAAACCTGTCTAGTCGTTCTTTGTCTGAAAATACTTCGTATTTCCAGTCAAAGAGGGGCAGCTGTAGACATGTGATTTTTGACCCTCCCCAAGATTTTTCATATTTTAGCACGTAAATATTTTATTTAGGCCTAATATCGCTATCTCAACTAATTTTGACTCTTTTACTTTATTTTATTACAAGAAAATGAAAATTACAAAAAAAAGTAGTTTCATTAATGTTTTGTAGTCATTTTTAATCTTGAAAAATACCAAAAATAGTTTCGTTTAACGGTCAGTCTTATTTCAATAGTTATTTTACTTAAGTAGGATTAATTGGTAAATAAGGTAGTATTTTTAGTCTTATTTACGGAGAAAGAATAAAATTTGGGCTCAAACGACCCATTTTTAAGCCTAATTTTTGGACCTAGCCTATAAATCTCAAGCCCATAGTACCTAGGCACATACCCCCTTAACCTAAAAAACCCTACATATACCTAGACCCCTAGACCTAAGGCCATGAGCAAAAAAACACACAAGGCAGCGCCGTTTTTCACACAAGGAGACACCCATCAACTTTTTCTCTTTCTTTTTCATTTCGAACACCGAAAAACACACAAAAAATTGGACCTAGACTCCAAAAGCTAGAGCGTCGTTCGACCAAGAGACCTCCCCACCCCCTGAAACTTCATCGTCTTCAAACCCCCCAAACGCCAACAGCAGCGACCATCCCTGACGAGCCACCGTCGCCCCATCTTCTTCATCGACCAAAGAAGAACGAACAGACATGGCAATAAAGGAGGGCAGCCATTGTTGAAAGGAATGATGGACCAAAAATCTGCCAATCTTCAATTTCCTAATCCCTAAATCGATTGGACAGTAGTTGCGAAGTAGATTCGACCGAGGTTCTAGTCGCCTGGTTCGTTTCATTACTATTTCGTTCAAATTCCGGCAGAATCCGGTTGGTTTTCCGTCGAATTTCCTGTTTTTCCGGGGAGGTCTGCGATTTGTCGAGGTTAACGTTCGTAACTCCAGTGCTGGTTCTGTTTACTTTTGGTCAGTTTTTCTTGCCTCTGATTGTGCCGTTCAGAAGTATTATTCATGATGTTTAATGTACCGTTTGATCAATTTTCTTGTTTGGTTTTGCCTATTAGATTTGATGTATGGAGTTATACATTGGATTAATTATGTGACTATTAAATATTTTGTTTGATTAAGTTCAAAATTAAATAGTGATGGCGATGTGATTAGTTGGGAATTGTGTTGGACTCTGAATTTTTAGCAATCAGAATTTTGAATGTTCCTTGTTCTATTTAACATATAGTAACGAATTGGTTCTTTTGTTTAAAGGTCCTAAGTATTTTCTCTTCCTTTATAAAAGTTTTAAGTGAGTAGATTCATCCTTTTGCTTATCATTTGAACAATTTTAGTCGAATCATGTTGCGACGACTTTATTTACCGGTTAGAATAGCTATCTTTGATATCCTGCAGTAGGCTTCATTAGATTTGAATGCTTATGCTTTGAGAATAATATTATAGTGTTCAAGGGATTTTGGACATGAGTTATTTTAGGAATGAGTGTTACTGGAAGTAAGTTTTTTTTTACGAAAAGATAAAGAAATTTGGCCGAAAAGAATTATGTCTGGCCCACCTCCTTAAATAAGATAAATAACTTACGAACATCGTAGTTTGCATATACTATCGTTTTTGCGTACACATTCGCGTGACGTAACTATGATTTTAAAAATAAAATCGGAGTATACGTTCACGCAACTTCGACTAAACTTTCTCAATAATAATAAAACGTTATTAATCGTGGACACGTACGCGTGACATGATTTTTGAAGCGCAAAACAAATGGGTACACGTGCGCGTGACCTGTTTAAAGATATTTTCTTAAGTAAAAGAGGCAAATGCACATAGGTTCTAAAATAAGTAATTAGACAATTTAATAAGCCAAGTATGATCAAAGCGACCGTGCTAGAACCACGGAACTCGGGAATGCCTAACACCTTCTCCCGGGTTAACAGAATTCCTTACCTGGATTTCTGTATTCACAGACCGTAAATAAGAGTCAAACCCTCCTCGATTCGGGATTTTAAACCGGTGACTTGGGACACCATAAATTATCCCAAGTGGCGACTCTGATTTTAATATAAATAATTCCGTTTTGATTGTCACTTAAATTGAAAAAACTCCCTTATACCCTTACGGGGGTAGAAAAAGGAGGTGTGACAACGAGTCTTCCATTTATAAAGACCCGTTAATCCCCTGTATTGAGGCCAAGGAAGGGTCTGAGTCCATTGTCTATCAGTCTTTTGAAGTGGTTGTTGTGGACCATGTCGAGGAAGGAAAGCCCATTCTGCATCCTCGTCTTTCCGCCACATCTGTAATGGTGGCTGCAGTTATGATGAAACAAGGTTATGAGCCAGGAAAAGGCTTGGGGGCATCATTGCAAGGAATTTCAGAGCCTATTAAGTTTTGTATCTTTTCCTTTTCCTAATTCCTGTCATTTTATTTCCATTTCAGTTTTGTTAATACCGGCTTTAATAATATGACATGCATGCGGAATTCACGCCCAGATCTTAAAAAGCTGTCTAATATCTAAATAATGCATCAAGAGGTTGAATATGATGAAGATGAGGTTGTTGAGGAAATAAAAAGAGAGTTGGAACAATTTGAAAACAAGCCTAAGCCCAACCTCAATGAAACAGAGCATATTAATATCGGAAGTCATGAAGAAGTCAGAAAAACGAAGATAAGCATTCACACTGAACAAATAAACAGAGTGCCTTGTTTCAACTTTTATTTGAATACAGAGATATGTTTGCTTGGTCTTATGATGATATGTTGGGTTTAAGTGTTGATCTAGTGGTTCATAAGCTTCCTACGTATCCTGGTTTTCCACCAGTCCAACAAAAGCAACGAAAATTTAAAATAGACGTGAGTGATAAAATCAAAGAGGAAATAATGAAGCAACTGAGCGCCAATGTGGTCAGAGCTGTCCGATACACCACCTGGGTGGCAAATGTTGTGTCTGTGCCAAAGAAGGATGGAAAAACCAGAGTCTATGTTGACTATAGGGACCTGAACAAAGCAAGTCTAAAGGATAATTTTCCTTTGCCAAATATCCACATTCTTGTAGATAATTGCACAAAGTATGAGATACAATCGTTCGTGGATTGCTACGCTGGGTACCACCAAATTCTAATGGATGAGGATGATGTAGAAAAGACCGCTTTCACCACTCCATAGGGTACTTGTTACAGGGTCATGCCATTCGGTTTAAAGAATGCAAGGGCAACTTACATGAGGGCCATGACCACCATTTTTCACGACATGATGCACAAAGAGATTGAAGTATATGTCAATGATGTCATCGTAAAATCAAAGACACAAGCTGATCACGTGTGCGATTTGAAAAAGTTCTTCGAACGGCTTCGAAGGTATGACCTTAAGCTTAATCCAGCCAAGTGTGCATTTGGGGTTCCATCTGGGAAACTCCTCGGTTTTATAGTCAGCAGGAGAGGCATCGAATTGGATCCATCTAAGATAAAGTCCATTCGAGATCTGCCACCCCCGAAGAACAAAAAGGAAGTCATGAGTTTGCTCGGGAGGTTGAACAACATCAGTAGGTTCATTGCTCAGCTCACAACCATGTGCGAGCCCATCTTTAAGTTGCTAAAAAAGGTAGCCGCTATCAGGTGGACGGACGATTGCCAAAAAGCTTTTGACAGGATCAAAGATTATCTGTCAAAACCTCCTGTACTGGTCCCACCTTAACCTGGTAGGCCTTTGTTTTTATATCTATCGGTGATGGATAATTCCTTTGGATGCGTTCTGGGGCAACATGATGCAACAGGCAAAAAGGAACAGGCAATCTATTATTTGAGCAAGAAGCTCACCAATTATGAGGTTAAGTACACCCTTTTAGAAAGGACATGTTGTGCCTTGACTTGGGTCGCTCAGAAGCTGAGACATTATCTTTTGGCCTACACTACTTACCTCATATCCAGAATGGATCCTTTGAAGTACATCTTCCAAAAGCCAATGCCCACTGGCAGGCTCGCAAAATGGCAAATCCTGCTCACAGAGTTCAACATCGTCTATGTCACTCGCACCGCGATAAAAGCACAGGCTTTGGCAGATCATTTGGCAGAGAATCCAGTTGATGATGAGTACAGGCCACTTAGCACATACTTCCCAGACGAAGAGTTCAACTTAATAGAGGAAGTAGTTCCAGACGATCACCCTGTATGGAAAATGTATTTTGATGGGGCTGTCAATATTAAAGGAGTTGGGATCGGGGCAATCCTCATCTCACCTATTGGACATCATTACCCTGCAATGGCCAGACTTTGGTTCTTCTGTACCAATAATACGAAGCTTGTATCATGGGTCTGAAAATGGCCATCGATCTGGATGTGCACGAACTATTGGTTATGGGAGATTCCGACTTGCTTATCCGACAAGCCCAGGGCGAATGGGAGACTCGAGACATCAAGCTTATTCCATACAGACAATGTGTGCAAGACTTGAGCAAAAGATTCAAATCTATCGAGTTGAGGTACATTCCCAGGTTTCACAACAAGCTAGCTGATGCCTTGGCTACTTTAGCCTCGATGATCCTTTATCCAGGCAACACTCATATTGATCCACTAGAAATCCAAGTTCGGAATCAACACAGTTACTGCAATATAATTGAGACAGAACCAGATGGTGAACCATGGTATCATGACATAAAATGATTCCTGAAAATAAGAAAATATCCAGAGCATGCCAAAGGAGATCAAAAAAGAACTATAAGGCGGCTCGCCAATGGTTTCTTCTTGAGTGGGGAAATTCTGTACAAGAGGATCCCAGATTTAAACTTGTTGAGATGTATAGTGCCACAGAAGCGGAGCAGATCATGAGCGAGGTGCATTCGGGGGTATGCGGGCCTCACACGAATGGATATGTTCTGGCGAAGAAGATTCTGGGGGCAGGGTATTATTGGCTTACTATGGAGCGAGATTGCTTCTGTTTTGATCGCAAGTGTCACCAATGCCAGATTCATGGTGACCTGATTCACTGGCCTCCTTCGGAGTTGCATCCCATGTCCTCTCCTTGGCCTTTCGTTGCCTGGGGAATGGATGTTATTGGGTCAATCAAACCAAAGGCTTCAAATGGGCATAGATTCATTTTGGTTGCAATTGATTACTTCACCAAGTGGGTGGAGGCCGTCACTTTCAAAGCAGTCACCAAGAAAGTAGTGGTAGACTTTGTTCATTCCAATATCATCTTTCGCTTTGGTATCCCAAAGACCATTATCACTGATAATGCAGCCAATCTAAATAGTCATTTGATGAAGTAGGTATGCGAACAATTTAAAATCATGCATCGCCATTCTACCCCTTACCGGCCAAAAGCCAATGGAGTCGTTGAAGCGGGGAACAAGAACATCAAGAAGATTCTTAGGAAGATGATCCAAGGTTCCAGGCAATGGCATGAAAAGTTGCCTTTTGCTCTTTTGGGATACCGCACAACTGTTCGCACATCTGTTGGTGCAACTCCGTATCTGCTTGTATATGGAACTGAAGCTGTAATACCCGCTTAAGTCGAAATTCCCTCTCTCTGAATTATTATGGAATTAGAGATTGAAGACACTGAGTGGGTCAAGACCCGATTAGAACAACTGATGTTGATCCATGAAAAACGGCTAGCAGCAGTATGTTTCGGCCAATTATACCAGCAAAGAATGGCACGCGCTTACAATAAGAAAGTACGCCCAAGGCAGTTTGAGGTAGGCCGGCTAGTTTTGAAACGCATCCTTCCACACCAGGTTGAAACTAAAGGAAAGTTCGCACCGAACTGGAAAGGACCCTACATTATCAAGAAAAGGGGCCTTACACTTGGTAGATGAAGAAAGACGGGTACCAGACATGACTATTAATGCAGATGTAGTCAAAAGATATTATGTCTGATATATGGCCACTGTAGAACTTTCACGCATTGATTTTCTCAGATATAGATTACGAAGGCTATCATTTGCTCGTTATTCCAAATAGGTGTCACTCTCTTGTTAACCCTTTTGAGCCGTATTTGTCTTTTTTTTTGCACCTTCTGGAACCTGTGTACTTGTGAAAAAAAAAATAGTCAAACAACAAAGCTTCTAAGTCCATTGAACTACGTCCGACCTGATTCTGAAAGGATACGTAGGCAGCCTTACCCTGGGTTCGGTCCCATCAGAACAAAATATCCATATTCCCAATACTCCAAAACTGGAGCAAAAGTTTGTTTTATTTCACGGTTTTTCTATAAAAATGGTTCCGAAAGTTGTAATTCAGTTCAAGGTTCATTTCGCCTTTTTTACCTTTCAAGAACTTCTGATAGATGTTTTTGAGAATGTTTGAAGCTCCCATGCCAAGGGCGTTGGGCAACCTCCCTCATGCAGTATCTTAGTCAAAAAAAAAAAGAAAAAAAATGAGAGAGTCTTATCAGTGAAAACCCGTACGGGCACTAAAGGCGACAGTGAGCAGAGAAATGAGAGAGTCTTATTGGTGAAAACCCAGATGGGCACCATAAGGCGATGGTTAGTAGAGAAATGAGAGAGATTAGTTAGCGAAAACCTGCAAAGGGCGCTACTAGCCGAATGAGGGTCTTCGATTCTTCGGCATGAGCACAACCAAGACAATTTCAAGATGAACATTTGTGGCGGATTTTGAGAATTAGACAGCTCAGACGGATCAGGCGTCCAGTCTAAAATGCATGTCATGATTCATTGAAGTCAGCACATACCTCTAGATAAGTCTCCCTATTCCTTTCCCCGAAAGGGACACCTTTTGTTTAAGCACAGTTCTTTTTCGCTTCCAATTATTATTCTGGTTTTACCCATAATTGTTCTTTGAGTCCTTTTCGGTCTAATCCTGCATCAAAATCGAAGCAAAGAAAGGGATGCAAAACTGGCTACATTTTCCCCGTAATATCGAGCACGATTTGGGGCATATATGGCATTGACGAAGGCACGGATCCATCTGTGATCTCATTTGATAAGGCGAACAAAGTGTCTCAAAGAAATTGAAAAGGTCGCCTAAGCAAGACCTGCTTCATGAGAAAAGGTTATAAGCACTACGGAAACAAACTGATACTGGGTTCAAGACAACTGAGCTATCTTTTAAAGAAAAGTAGCCTTGCCTTAGAGACAAGGGTAGCGGTACCATAGACATCTAGGTATGAAACAGTTGGGGACAACAATGGAAAGCCAAGGTCTCCATGAAATGATACAAAGCGGCCGAGCATCTCGGTACCATGCTGACAGAAAATTTGTTCTTCGACAGCAGTGGCCGTGAATCAAACTACTCAAGGCATCAAGGCCACAAACCAACCACCACTCTGAAAACTCACAAATTTTCTTTGTTTGGAGCAGGAACAAAGCAGTGCAGAATGGCGATTCTAAAAGAACGAATATCACCAAACGTAAGCTCCTTAAAATCTCTATTTTCTTTTATTTTCTTCATGCATCACTATTGTTCACACCTCAATTTTTCGTAGCTTAACTCGGGAAGAATCCTTTCACCTAGGGGGATCCAGCTCATAGTTCCGAGTAGAAGTATTCTTCGCTCAGGTTGTTTTACGTAGCTGTACTCAGGTAGAGCCATTTCACCTAGGGGGATCCAGCTCATAGTTCCGAGTAGAAGTACTCTTCGCTCAGGATATTTTACGTAGCTTAACTCAGGTAGAACCGTTTCGCCTAGGGGGTCCAGCTCGTAGTTCCGAGTAGAAGTACTCTTAGCTCAGGGTGTTTTACGTAGCTTAACTCAGGTTGAGCCATTTCACCTAGGGGGATCCAGCTCATAGTTCAGGGTAGAAGTACTCTTCGCTGAGGGTGTTTTACGTAACTTTAATCAGGTAGAACTTCTTCGCCTAGGGGGATCCAGCTCATAGTTCCGAGTAAAAGTACTCTTCGCTCAGGATATATTTTGACGTAGCTTAACTTAGGTAGAACCGTTTCGCCTAGGGGGATCCAGCTCATAGTTCCGAGTAGAAGTACTCTTCACTTAGGGCGTTTTACGTATCTTAACTCAGGTAGAACCATTTGGCCTAGGGGGATCCAGCTTATAGTTCCAGGTAGAAGTACTCTTCGCTTAGGGTGTTTCATGCAGCTTAACTCAGGTAGAATCATTTCGCCTAGGGGGATCCAGCTCGTATTTCGGGTAGAAGTACTCTTCGCTCAGGGTGTTTTACGCAGCTTAACTCAGGTAGAATCATTTCGCCTAGGGGGATCCAGCTCGTATTTCGGGTAGAAGTACTCTTCGCTCAGGGTGTTTTACGCAGCTTAACTCAGGTAGAATCCTTTCGCCTGGGGGGATCCAGCTCATATTCCGGGTAGAAGTACTCTTCGCTCAAGGTGTTTTACGCAGCTTAACTCAGATAGAATCATTTTGCCTAGGGGAATCCAGCTCATATTTTTGGTAGAAGTACTCTTCGCTCAGGGTGTTTTACGCAGCTTAACTCAGGTAGAATCCATTCGCCTAGGGGGATCCAGCTCATATTCCGGGTAGAAGTACTCTTCTCTCAAGGTGTTTTACGCAGCTTAACTCAGGTAGAATCCTTTCGCCTAGGGGGATCCAGCTCATATTTTGGGTAGAAGTACTCTTTGCTCAGGGTGTTTTACGTAGCTTAACTCAGGTAGAACTATTTCGCCTAAGGGGATCCAGCTCATATTCCAGATAGAAGTACTCTTCGCTCAGGGTGTTTTACGCAGCTTAACTCAGGTAGAATCCTTTCGCCTAGGGGATCCAGCTCATATTCCGAGTAGAAGTACTCTTTGCTCAGGGTGTTTTACGCAGCTTAACTCAGGTAGAATCCTTTCGCCTAGGGGGATCCAGCTCACATTTTCGGGTAGAAATAATCATCGCTCAGGGTGTTTTACATGGCTTAACTCAGGTATAACCATTTCGCCTAGGGGGATCCAGCTCATAGTTCCGGGTAGAAGTACTCTTCGCTCAGGGTGTTTTACGTAGCTTAACTCAGGAAGAATCTGTTTCGCCTAGGGGGATCCAGCTCATAGTTCCGGGTAGAAGTACTCTTCGCTCAGGGTGTTTTAATATAGCTTAACTCAGGTAGAACTGTTTCGCCTAGGGGGATCCAACTTATAGTTTCGGGTAGAAGTACTCTTCGCTCGGGGTGTTTTACGCAGCCTAACTCAGGTAGAACCATTTCGCCTAGGGGGATCCAGCTCATAGTTCCGGGTAGAAGTTAATCTTCGCTCAGGTTGTTTAATATAGTTTAACTCAGGTAGAACCTTTTTCACCTAGAGGGATTCAACAATTTATCAATAATACATGGTGCTAACTCCTGACTCTATCTCCTTCCAGTAAGATAAGGTACCAACCCCTGGTTACATTTCCTGTAAGTAGTACAGGGTACCGATCCCTGGTTACACAATCATTCGTTACCAAATTTATCTCTTTTAGCTAGTTTATACTTCTTTTTCTGTCGGCCTTTCAATAAATTAGATAGTTTATAGCTTTCGTTGATAACTCACAAAACTTTCCTAGTCCAAACTGGGGCAGAAAATTTTTGTTCGTTTTGTTCGTCTTTGATGGCTTTGCAGGCCTCGCCGCAGAGCACAAGTTATGATGATCGAAGCTTGCAGTTTCAGTTATCATCAGAAGGACGATCACAGGATAGTTTGGGTTTAACTTTGACAACGTGTCGGCAACACAGCTACTCACGTTTCATTTTCTCAAATTCTGATCCAGAAAGC